TGGAAAATTTTCATCAGTGCTCAAGTGGCGGATTATGAGCCTCTCGCTGGTAGCCACATATACGAATAACGCTTGCCATATGAAATGAGTTTAATGGATTTCGGAACTTTCTGCTCTTGGTTTTGAAGACAAGTGAAATTGGGTTTATAACCTCAAGTTGCGCTTGTGTACATTATTCATCCTTGTTAAACCAGTTCCCGAATTTACTGTGTAAGCTCCTGACTTTGTATGATTCCATGCATTTTCGTCAATTGTAATATTTTGGCTCGACCTCAACGTCAAGATAAGGGGGATCTCCTCAAGTCGCAAATAGTTCCCTAGAAGTGGGACGTTCCACTCTTTCGTATTTTTAAGGGCATAGATTAGCAATTGAGGGTTTATGTGGCTAGGTCAGGTTATCCCCTCAGAAGTCTTGGTCATTTGCTCATGTTTATTTTGTGGCCATAAAAATGGATTGACACATGGGATTGGTGCAAAAAACATGGAAATTTAAAAAACTTTATGAAAACTTTTGTTTTTTATTAGTGGTTCAATTGATTAAAAATTCAAAATATGATTGTATTATTAAGTTTATACTAGAAAATTTTCTAATGTTGATTATGAGCTTAACTTTTTTTCGTACGTTTTGTTTTCTTTGAAGGATATCTAGACAAAGAGTTGTTGCAAGCTATTGAAACATAATCAATGGCAATTAAGAAAATTTCTTTACCTTTGTTAATGGTCTTTACCCTCATCTTAATGTCCACGTTTTCAACTTCAGGTAACATATTTATTTGTTTATGGTTATGCTGTTTTAAAGGCTTGAAAACGTACTTTCAATCTAAAATACTCTAGAACAAGCGAAATCAAACCTTAAACGGAAAATTGTAAAATATACAAAAATATATATAGCTCTAAGTGTGTAAAAGAAAGAACATAGCTTACCATCCTCTTAGAATGAATCAAAGAAAGAAAGAAAAATGTTAGAGATGCCAAGTTAGAGAAGAAAAGATAAAGAGCAAATTAAGTGCAAAGAAAAAGAATTCCTTGGGACTTAGATCAAAAAGAAATGATAGTCT